TTTTAAATGAGAGAAGAACTAAAACATATACCTTGTTCATTAATTGGAAGATTTAACACTATGAAGATTTTGATTTTAGTTTAGGGAAATAGTTGTCAGGTGACATTTTGAGAATGTTGCAATTAATTTGCAAAAAAAGTAATTTAAAAAATTAATGTTGCAAAAAATGTTTTCTTTTTGGTTTAGGGAAATGGTGTCAGGTGACATTTTGAGAATGTTGGAATTAATTTTCTTCTGAAAGAATAAACCAATTTGGCTAGTTTGATTTTGCAAGTAGTTACAACTCATGAGAACATTTTTACTTCTCATCAAATATATTGTGCTTTGGAAAAGACTTTCTCCTTGTAGTGAGATGTGTTAACATATCTTACAAACCTCCTGATAATGTGACAGGATGTAAATTTGTCTTAAATATTATTAAATTAGATATATAGCTCAAAGGTTAGTGTAAAGTTTCCATGTGGTAGAATATTTTATTTGGAATCTAAATAACCTGATGATATTTCCATATAAACTTTTATGAAGTAGGGATAAATATTTAATTTTATGTCTGGGATTTCTCCCCCCCCACACCAAAAACTCTGTATTATCGATAAAAAATGAAGCTCAGAGAATTTATGTACAAGTTCATGAAGCTAATTATTATATTATTATTTTTTAAGACAGAGTCTTATTGTGTCACCATGGTGTCATAGCTCACAGCAACCTCTAACTCTTGGGCTTAAGAGATTCTCTTGCCTCAGCCTCCCAAGTAGCTGGGACTACAGGTGCCCATCACAATGCCCAGCTGTTTTTTGGTTGTAGTTGTCATTGTCATTTGGCAGGCCCAGGCTGGATTTGAACCCGCCAGCTCCAGTGTATGTGGCTGGTGCCCTAGCTGCTGAACTACAGCCTTCTGGCTACTTTTGTTGTTGGTGGTGGTGGTGTTGTTATTGTAGCTGTCATTGTTTGGAAGGCCCTGGCCTGGTTCAAACCTGCCAGCCTCCGTGTATGTGTCTGGTGCCCTAACCGCTAAGCTAAAGGCGCCAAGCCTGAACCTAATTATTGACAAAGCCAGAATCTGAATCTAGCTCTTCTGATTCCAGAAGTACTAGAAATGTTGTGAAAGAAGAATTCAGTTTGACATGAATTAGAGCCATGAAGGGAGATGTTTGGAGTTGGGTTTTGCGGCAATCTGATGTATCTCCTTATCTCTACTTTCCCTTTGTCCCTTATTTATCTTTTGTATTGTCTTTTCTCTTATGGTTATTGTCTTCATTAGTGCTTTCATACTGTTTTATAAAATTCAGTCAGGAATTGAGTAATCGTAATTAGGATAAGTTTTACATATCAGATTCTGCAAATGTTAAAACATTTGGTTTAATCCATCCACTTAGCTGTGTTAGAAATCTTGATGTCAACGTTAATCTTTTTTGTTGTTGTTGTTGGCCAGGGCTGGGTTTGAACCCGCCACCTCCGGCATATGGGGCCAGTGCCCTACCCTTTTGAGCCACAGGTGCCGCCCACAACTTTAATCTTTTTTACTCTCCACGTCTAGTTGTTTCCTGGATTCTGCCTTTGATCCCTGTTTTTGACTTCATGCAGCCTTGCTTGGCTTCCAACTCTCATCCTATCCAACTAGGTTGTGCTATTAGCCTACTAAATATCCTTCCTACTCTCTCTTCTAGAAAATTGGTTTCTCTACATTAAAGAGTCCATAAACCTAAATGAGAAAAACATTATATCTTTATTTTTACTAATCACTAACTGAAATTGAGCATTTTCTTCCATTATGAATAAGGCAACCATCTGCAGTAATATCAGTATTTTGTGACTTCATTATTAATGGAAATCACTTATATTTCCATATCAAATTATAGTTGGTTTTTTTTTTTAAGACAGAGTCTGACTGTGTCATCCTGGGTAGAGTGCTGTGTTATCACAGCTCACAGCAACCTCAAACTCTTGGGCTCTAGTGATTCTCTTGCCTCAGCCTCCCAAGTAGCTGGGACTATAGGCACCTGCCACAATGCCTGGTTTTTTTTTTGGTTGTAGTTGTCATTGTTGTTTGGCAGCCCCAAGCTAGATTCGAACCCGCAGCTCCAGTGTATGTGGTTGGTGCCCTAATCCCTGAGATATAGGCGCCAAGCCTCAAATTACAGTTATTGATAACTTGAATATCCTATGCTCATCACTACTCTGAAATTAGAGTAGTTGTTACTTTGCTATATCTTCTTAATTTATTATGGCTCACTAATACATTAAATATCTTACAGTTTTTTTAGAAGTACTTGAGTTACTATATTTTCTTTCTTTCTTGTTTTTTTTGAGACAGAGACTCACTATGTTGCCCTTGGTAGAGTTCTGTTGCATCACAGCTCACAGCAACCTCAAACTCTTGAGCTTAAGCGATTCTCTTGCCTCACCCTCCCAAGTAGCTGGTAGGGCTATAGACGCCCGCCACAATGCCCGGCTATTTTTTTGTTGTAGTTGTTGTTGTTTGGCAGGCCTCAGGCCGGGTTTGAACCCACGAGCTCCTGTGTATGTGGCCGGCACCCTACCCACTGAGCTACAGGCGCCAAGCTGAGTTATATTTTCTTCTTTTTTTTTTTTTTTTTTTTTTTTGAGACAGAGTCTCACTATGTCACCCTTGGTAGAGTGCTGTGACATCACAGCTCACAGCATCCTCCAGCTTTTGGGCTTAAGCGATTCTCTTGCCTCAACCTCCCAAGTAGCTGGGACTATAGGTGCCTGCCACAATGCCCAGCTGTTTTTTTTATTGCAGTTGTTATTGTTGTTTAACTGGCCCAGGCCGGTCTCGAACCCGCCAGCCTTGGTGTATGTGGCTGGCACTATAACCACTGTGCTACGGGCACCGAGCCAAGTTACTATATTTTCATATACAGGTTGAACATCCTTAGTCCAAAAATATGAACTCTGAAATGCTCCAAAATCTGGAACTTTTTTGTCATTGTTGTATATCTGGCCCTGGGCCAAGCTTGAACCCACCACCCTGGGTCTATGTACCCTATGCATTGAGCTACAGGCACCACCAGAAAATCTGGAACTTTCTGAATAGTGACATGATACCACAAGTGGAAAATTTCACATGTGATGATTATAGTTAAAACACAGTTAAAACTTTGTTTAATGCACAAAATTATTAAAAATATTGTGTAAAATTATCTTCAGGCTATATATATAGAGTATGTGAAACATAAATGAATTTTGTTTTATCCCCAAGATAACTCATTATATAGATAAAAATATTCTAAAATAGAAAAATATTCCAAATCTGAAACATTTCTGGTCCTAAGCATTATTGAATAAGGGATATTCAACCTGTAATTGGTTTTCTTTGCAATCTTAAGTATTTTATTATCTACATTTAAAAGTATTCTATGATAAAAATGTTCTAAGATTATTTTTAACTATAATAGTTATGAACTTTACAATTAAAAAGGTGAATTTTGTATAGTGAATTACATCTCAATAAAGCTTTTACAACAGATATAGATACTATTCTCTTACTGAGTCTGCCCAGACTACCACATCACCTGTGATATATAAAGGATCGTGAACCCCTTCTCTTTACCTGGAAATATACTCTAACCCTGATTGATATCTGAAAACTTCTTAGACATTTATCCAAAACTCAGCTCAAGTATTTCTTCCCTAAATCCTTTTCTGGTTTTCCTGGGCAACTCTTTTTCTGGGTGTTCTTAGAAATGCTTTCCTCAGGATTTCCTTGCCACCTGGTGTAGTGCCTGAATGATCCACTGAAGAATGGGCAAATAACAATTGTAGCATGAGCATGTTAATGGTAGAAGGAAAGAAGAATCATAAATCAGCTTATAGACTCTGCTTTCTTTCTTTTTTTTTTATCGTCCTCAGGAGAGTGCTGTGGCGTCATAGCTCACAGCAACCTCTAATTCCTGGGCTTAGGCGATTCTCTTGCTTCAGCCTTTTGAGCAGATGGGACTACAGGCACCCACCACAACACCTGGCTATTTGTTGCTGGGGCCGGGCTCGTACCTACCACCCTTGGTACATGAGGCCGGTGCTGAACCCACTGAGCCACAGGAGCCACCCCAGACTCTGTTTTCTGAAAAGTACTTAAGATCCTATTTTAGTCAACCATCCATCGCGTGTTCAAACATACCTCCTTTACTTTCAGAGAAATTAAAAGATAATCAACAGAAATCACCAATCAGTGCATTTAAAATGTGTGCATTTTATTATATATGTAAAGTATACTTTAATAAGAAATGAGAAAAAATTTGACTCTCTAAGTAGGGAGAAAAACATTGAAAAGACATGATGACTGAAGGGTTAAATAACTGATCTAATAATCAAGAGAAATGTTACAATGTAGTGTATGCTCAGATGCCATGTGAGTGTTAGGATAAAAAACCTCTCTGCTTTCCGGGGAGGAGGAAACACTGTGAGCCTAGTGGTGGTCATTCTGTGTGGTATTTGGATAGGAAGAAAAGATGACAGCATTGCTGTGGGAAAGCCTGAGGACAGAGGCCTAGCCTTGGAAAGAACAAGGCAAGCCCAGGGACAGAGCCAGTGAGGCGGCTTCTAGCCTATTGCAGATGGACATGAGGGGCTTGAGGAAGGAGTAGTGGAGGTTGGGACAGTTGAGAAGGCAGGATCAAATCAGACTCCAGGGACTGGGGAACCGATTGGCTATATCAAGGTGGTGGAGTAAAAAAATAATAGAAATGCTGAGTTTGGCTAATTGGTAGAAAAATGATATTATTAACTAAAAAGGGAAGTAAGGGAACAGCAAGTTTTTTTTTTGAGATGGTAAAACCACTTCCATTGGTTAAAAATATCAGGTTTTATATTTTGCATCTGAACCAAATAAGGAAATAAGGTACATGTTTTGTAGAAAGGAAATAATATTTTACATGTAAAACACACTTTACAACATGAAATATAGTTCTAAGAAAATATCCTCTTATCAAAAAATATGTAAAGTTGCCATCCTTTGTGTGCGCTTTTCTCTTCCTTAGATTCCAATATAGTTAGTAATTTTGTACTTCAAGACTTACTGGCATATGTGTCTTCAAAACACTCTTATCTCAGAGACCTTCCTCGAAGACAGCCTCAGAGAATGAACAGCATAGAATTTGTAGAACTGGAGCAGCTTCAGCCTGATATATTAGTCCATGCGCTACTAAAAGTTGTTGATATCACAGTACTGACAGGTAAATATTTTGAGTGCCTCCTTAATTTTAAATTGTAAAGAGTTAAGATACAAGACCATTTTAGTGTACCATTTGGTTATCACTGTATATTTATCATGCGATATTAAAATACAGTATCCTACTATAATGCCAATTAAAATGTTCTTTTTCCAGAGGCATTATACAGCTTTAGAGGACAAAAGCAAAGGAAAGTTATCTTAACAGTGGAACAGGCCCAAGGTCAACATTATGTACTTATATTATGGGGTCCTGGAGCTTCCTGGTACCCTCAACTTCAAAGGAAAAAAGGTAAATACACCAAAAAGCATTTATTCTATTTATAGTTTGGTAAATCATTAATACTTATGAGCCTAAGTTTAAGAAAATCTTAAAAGAGATTAGACAACAAGATTAGACAACATTTGAAATACAAGTGATTGTGATTGCATAGTCTTCTGTAAATTTCTTGTTATAATTTTATACTTCCTATAGCAATTAAGTTATTTAAAAGTCTTGTGTAATTAATGGTGGCAAAATAAAGGCTTAAATTTATGCCTAGATATGCTACTTTACCTTTTTAGTGAAGATGTTATCTCCTTCACATAATGTTCTTTAAAAATTTAATTCTAGAGAAGCTTCTATAATTTTTTTCAGCCACAGTACTCTGATCAATAAGCTTCTCTCTGGTTATAGGGCAGATGTTAGGGGAGTTGCCTTAACTCTTTCAAGTCACAATTACTGTTCAATAAATTACTATATTCCAGGTTTTTATTCTGGTTATTTTAAAAGTGTAGACTATTAGCTACCCAGAGAATGTTCATGTTTAAAATCTGACCCAAGATTACATTTTCTCTTTAAAGCACAAATTAATAATTCATAGTGTATTGAATTAAATGGAATTGATGTTTTGTTAAAATAGTATAATTTCTTCCCTTTGCTATTCTGAGATCTTTTAGTTGTGGCAATCAAAGATAGTTTAATCAGTGACTTATGAATTATTTTACCCTGCTATTAATTTAGAAATTGACTCTCTAAATATACGACCCATTATTTTTTTACCTGAAGGAGTTAATATCTCTTTCCAAATTCCGCCTACCAAAGAGTTATCTGTTATTAGGATCTGTCACATTATCTCCTTTAATCATTAATAGCCTGTAACTAGGGTTTGAGATAAGTCTTTTGACTTTTAAGTCAGGATCAAACAGGGGAAGATGTTTGTTCCGTTGAGAAACCTGACAAACATGTATTGATGACAGACTACCCACGATCACTGATGGCCACATCCTGGCTGAGAACACGAGTCTAGTGCATGCTGGACAAAAATGTAGGTGAAAGGTGTTAGGGAGCTGTAGCAAAGCAAATTACTCCATGCTTAATGTGAACGTTATTTAAAATTAAATATTTATTTGATTAATAGAAGAGAAATTATAGTTGTTGCTAAATAATCCTGTGGTTAGTATTGAAAATATATGAATCCAGGAATTAAGATGTAGTTGTTCTTTGTTCATTCATTCAGCATACCTTCATTTATAACCAATATTTTTATTTTATTTTTTTCTTTTTTTTTTTGTGGTTTTTGGCCAGGGCTGGGTTTGAACCTGCCACCTCCGGCATATGGGGCCAGCGCCTTAGTCCTTTGAGCCATAGGCACTGCCCATATAACCAGTATTTTTAAGTTGTTTTTTTTGAGACAGAGTCTCAAGCTGTCCCCCTGGGTAGAGTGCTGTGGCATCACAGCTCACAGCAACCTCCAACTCCTGGGCTTATGTGATTCTCTTGCCTCAGCCTCCCAAGTAGGTGGGACTATAGGTGCCTGCCACAATGCCCTGCTGTTTTTTGGTTGTAGTTGTCGTTGTTTGGCAGGCCTGGGCTGGATTTGAACCCACCCACTCTGGTGCATGTAACTGGCACCTTAGCTGCTTGAGCTACAGGCTCCAAGTCCATTATTTTTAAGTTTTAACATCTACTTGAATACCTCAAGGTCATTCTTTTTTTTTTTTAGAGACAGAGTCTCACTTTGTCACTCTCAGTAGAGTGCGGTGGTGTCACAGCTCACAGCAACCTCCAGCTGTTGAGCTTAGGTGATTCTCTTGCCTTAGTCCCCCAAGTAGCTGGGACTGGGACTACAGGCGCCCACCACAACACCCAGCTATTTTTGTTGTTGTTGTTGTTACAGTTTGGCTGGGGCCGGGTTTGAACCCAACACCCTCTATATATGGGGTCAGTGCCCTACTCACTGAGCCACAGGCGCTGCCCCTCAAGATCATTCTTTTTAAGGGAAAATAATAACTTTAAAGGGTCATTTAAATAAGTGATTCTATTTTGGTAATTTTACTTTCCTTTCAAGAGACCAGTCCAGTCCCATTTCCAAATTCCTAGCAAAGACAATATGACTGCCTGTACTAAATTTGATTTTAAAAACTGTGACCAGAAAGACATTGTTAGACTGGACGTGGTATCTCTTGCCTATAATCCTAGCACTCTGGGAGGCTAAGGAGGGTGGATCACCTGAGTTCAGGAGTTCGAGACCAGCATGAGCAAGAGCTAGATGCCGTCTCTAAAAATGGCAGGTGCCTGTAGTCCCAGCTACTTGGGAGGCTGAGGCAAGAGAATTGCTTAAGCCCAAGAGTTTGGGGTTGCTGTGAACTGTGACGTAATGGTACTTTACCAAGGGTGACAAAGTGAGACTCTGTCTCAAAAAACAAAAAAGAAAGATATTGTCGCAAAGTACATATAAGAGGGCTTGAGCTTATTTCAGTGGGTAAGAAAACAGGTAAGGAAGTCATTTGTGGTCTGAGTAGACAAGTAAAGGTATTCACTGCCAACAAGGTGTATATTCATTAGCTTACGTAGAAAGATGTAGGTATGTGATATATTATTTAGTTTTAAAAGAGATTATAAAACTTTTATATATAACAGAATCACATTTTAGTAAAAGTTTAAGTATGTATATACATTAAAAAATTTGGAAATACACCCAGACACACATACACACACACACACACACACACACACACACACACACACGAGCGCACGCACCAAAATGCTGACAGTGCTTATTTCTTTGTGGTAGTATTATGTGTGATTTTTATCTTTTCTTATACCTTTAGCTTGAATTTTATATGTATGTGAGCATTTGCATTTACTTTTAAACATTTTATTATAAAAGCCTTCAAGCATAAACAAAAGTAGATAGAGTACTAAGAATAATGAACTTAAATACCCTTCAGCTGGCTTATTAAAATGTGGCCAGTCTTTTTCACCCACTACCTCCTTTTACTGTATCTAAATATTTTTTATAATAAATTTATTTTATAATTAGAAAATAAAACTAAAACTTTTTCCTTTTTTTAAAGAAGAAGAGAGAGGGGAGGGGAGGGGGGTATGGGAGGAGGGAGGGTATTTGGGGGAACCTCACCTAATGTGCAGGATGCAGTGGTACATTTCAAAACTATTTAGAAATGAGTATAATTGTGATGGATGTGTTACTTGGTTCAATGTAAACATTTCACATTGTATATTGAAGCAGTACCCTGAACCCCATATGCATCAATGTACAAAGTTATGATTTAAAAAAAAACGATTAAAAAAAAATAAAAAAAGAAGAGTTAATATTTGGAACATCTGGCTAAAAATTTGAGAAAAAAATCAAATCAGGTCAAATCTATATATTTGTGCTTAAATAAATTCCAAATGCATTAGAGACTCAAATATGAAAACAATGAAACATCCTCCTCCACCTGTTAAAAAAAAAATAAAAAGAGAATATAGGCAAACTTATTTGGATTCAAAAGATTGGTAGGTTAAATAAAATGTAGCAACAAAAATTACTATACTTTGAATCCACTGTATACATAGTATAAAATTAAAAGGCAAGTGACAAACCAGAAAAAAAATTGCATTGTGTCAGGAAATAATACAATAAGCAAAAGACAGATGTATCTGTGAAGGTAAATGGGCAAATGATATGAAGAGGCAAATCCCCAAAGAAGAAATAAAAGTGTAAGTATATGAAAACATTTACTGATAATTGAAAAAATAGAAAATAATAATGGTAGATGCGTTTTCTCATAATAAATGGATAAAGAAGATATGGGAAAACAGCTATTCCATAAGTTACTGGAAATATAAATTGGCAGAACCTTTCTTTTCTTCTCTTTTCTTTTTTTTGAGACAGTCTCAAATTGTTGCATCAGGTAGAGTGCTGTGGTGTCACAGCTCCAACCTCAGACTCTTGGGCTTAAGTGATTTTCTTGCCTCAGCCTCCCAAGTAGCTGGGACTACAGGTGCCGGCCACAATGCCCAGCTATTTTATTTTATTTATTTATTTATTT